TTTAACTCAAACTAACCTAGTAAGCTAGGTGGCAGCTCCATGTGTCAGAGACTCACTTAGATAATTTATGGACGGCACCTAATACTTAGTCGGTAAGATGCCTTACGAATTCGCTTCATCTCAATGCCCTAGAGCTCCTCGGGGCTTTTCAGGATGTGAGAGCCAAAGTACTTTAGCCTAAGCCTAGTTTACGCTGGGCACCTAAGAAGGTAGCGTTGAAGTGATTCCACCGTATCTTCTTTCAGGTACCTGCGACATACAAGATCAGGTAATATGTTCCACCTTACAGCATGAATACAGATTGGGCAGTGACCCATTAAAACCTCAAATTTTTAAGTGTAAGAAGTGCCCTCGACCCGGCCCAACCTCGCCCACAAGAACCTTGCAATCGCCATTTAGCCAAGAGTGTACCAAAAGTGATCAATCGCACAGCCAGTCACTCTTTATCCGGCGATAACGTTTCAAGAGTACCTTTCCCAGCCAATTCGTCAGCCACACAGTTTCCCGCTGTGTCGCTTTGACTCGTAACCCAAAAGAGCCTAATACAGATGTATTCCGACGCAACTGAGGGATTGAGAGGGCAGACATTCATCAAACAAATTAGAGCGCATCTCCAACGCACTTAAGTCCCTGATAGCCGCTTGGCTATCAGAATTAATGTTCACCTCCTTGACTGTCAGCGCTCTCTTGAGAAGTGACGGTGGGATACTTTATACCAGCCACCTTCGTCTGAAATACACTACAGCAGTTTGGCAGCGTGAACTCAGTACTGATGGAATCCTCTGGACAGAAGACCCCTTCACCTTCGTCCAGTTTCAATCCATACGTGAAGAAGTTCACTGCCTTCAGAAGCCTAACCAGCCAAAACCTAAAATAACATTTCCCTTACTCTGTAGATCTTTCCATGAAGCAATCGATTTCTTTTATATGGCAGTAAAGTGAAATACGTAAGTCATGAAACAAATTATAATTGTAATCTATTCACTTTTTCAAATAGTAAATAAACATATTCGTTATCGTTTTCGATACATTTATCGATTAATTTATCGATATCGTGCAATTAATCGATATTTTCTTAATATATTTGTGCATGGGCATTGTTTTATTACGCTTTGATCATTACTATCAATCGCTCAAATCTTTTATAATAATCGATAATATTTTATCGATATGAATAACAATATTATATATCGTAATTCGCATTGCGGATGCATTATTTTCCCAATTACATTTATTTTCACATTCATATTCATGTCGATAAAACATATTCATATCCATACATATGTATATTCATATCCATACACACATTCATATTCATATACATATTTATAGCCATATTCGTATTCAATTTTATATTCGTGTTCATAATCAATATCTTTTCGATGCACATCACGTATCCAAAGCTATATTCATGTTCTTATTAATATTCAATTTCCTATTCATATGTGATCATATTCGTTATCATATTTATATTAATATTCATGTTCAAATTAATTTTTATATACATATCCGTATGTATATTCATATTCATATGCTTCTTCATATTAATTTTAATATTCGCATATCTATTCGCATTCAAGTCCATATTCAATATCTTATTCCTATTCATATTCAATAATCCTATTCATATTCTTATTTATATGCATTACCATTTTCGTACCTATATTCATATTCATGTTCCTATTTGTATTCTCTTAACCTTGAGCTAAAGCGATGGTATGTCCTTTTTTATCACTCTTCAAATTACTTGTCTTTATCCTATTTTAGTACACTATTTTTTCATTGAAAAGACAAAAGCTTCTGCGCTCCACTATCTAATTTTAAAGCTACGTAATGATACCTAGTAAAAAACCATAATTTAATACTCATATTTACAAGCAATCCTTGCTGCTCAAATCAAGTAATGCAGCGGCAAAAACAAACAGTCAGTTGCCGATTTGAAATTGCCTTCGTTTTGTTTTTTTTTTATGAAGCAAAACACCACCTTAGGAAGCTGTACAAATACTTTTCATATAAGTGTCCTTATGTAAAAATGTCAGTATGTCTAGAAATATTAGTCCTTTGTGGCAACTTCATGGCGCAACATATGGCAATCGAAATGCCGCGGTGAAGGCACGCATTGTAAACATAAGGAATGGCATATTGCACGAATAGACATAAATATTTGTTATCAAGAAATTCGAAAATATGTATTTTTGGTCTAAGGAAAATGAAAAATAAATATCAATTTTTATGCACTGCAGCGCTTTATTTTGGGATATTGAATTGGAGACAAGCATTGTTTGAATGTGATGGTAAGTATTGAGCATCACTGCGTTACAAGTGGAATTGAAAGCAAAGCGAAGCGCATGCGAAAAAAAAAATTAAATTAAGAAATATTACAAAATTTTAAACAGTAAAAAGCGCAAAAGTATTGATATGCTGTAGATCATACGCTTTCGCTATCACTTCAACTTACTTTATGTACATATATCTATACCTTAGCAATATTAAATCTTATTAAACCAATTTTAATTACAAACTCTTTAATAAACTAATTTTTCACATTTGCCAACAATCTTTCACTCGCATTCAATTGAATTTGTCTTAATCTGTTCTTAATTATGTTTCCATTATTTCCTTATAGTTGAGTGCGAAAAGTCTTGCTGTCAATTAAGTCTGCCAACTACATACATACATAGTTAGTTTCCAGTTTTCCAATCGCACGCGCTTTTGCAATTTTTCACTTTTTCCGCTTTGCAATCACTTGCGCACATTGCAACATGTGCATGCTACTTACTCTTCACTGAAGACTTACTACTTGCAAAAACAAATAAGTTTGCAATTGGCATCCTGCCAGACGACCGAAGCGTTATGGCTGGCTAAAGCTCTGTGCAACTGTGGCACTGAAAAAAATAAGGAAATATGCAGAAAAAAAAGAAAAATTTTAAGAAAATATTTTGAAATGCACACACAGATTGTTCGATTGTTATTGTTACCGTTGATTGGTGTTTGCGTGCAGTTTTGACAGTGGAAAATTGCATGTTACATGTGCCAAAATGGGTAAAAACTTTAGTTGTTGGCTGATAGGTTTGATTTATTTTTTATTTTTTCAAATTATTTTCTTGTTTATGGTTTTCATATGCGAGAATGAAAGTTTTGAAAAGAGCGTAGTTTTTATTCTTGGTTGCAAAATCAATGAGAAAAAAACAACTTTTTATTAAATGAATAAAAATAAAATTAAACCAGTAATTTTTAAGCAAAAAACAAAACCGACTTCAATTCTCATATAAAAAAATATATTTACATATATATATTTCATGATCCAATGGTCGGATAAAATTAGCATGGGACCACCGCTGAGACACTACTTTTCCGATGCAAAAAGAATTATCGAAATCGGTTGACGTGGTCCAAACTTATGCGTTAACAAACATAAAAATAAAAAATAAAAATATTCCGACGAACTGATAACCTCCTCCTTTTGCAAGTCGTTGAAGAAGAGAGCGTGAATATGCCTCAAATACCGAGGTTTTGGTGGAAAGTATATTCGCATCGAATGTAGATTGATGCTACATTATATCTATGGTATCAAGGATAGAATGAAAAATGCAAGATTTTTGAAAAAATTTGTTGTAAGTATTAATCGATAAATTTATCGGAGATTATTATTATGGCATTTTTGACAATATCGTTATCAATACACAAACATTTGTATATGTTTGTCTGATTTATCGATAAACTTATTTATTTAACTTTACACGTTTATCGGAATTATCGATAAATTTATTTACTTTATACTGATCAGCACATGTTCGTCAATTTAACGATGAAACTGGCATTATATTAGTTTTTATCAACATTGTTATTGATATCACATGTTTATCGATTTTTAAGTATTTGTCGTCAATGAAAAATTGATATCGATAGTTTTTGTTTATATAGTTATCGGGATATAAATTAGTATTTCATTCATAAACGATCTAATTCGTAACATATGTATGTGCGTGGTGATTGAGAGGTTCGCACTAGCGATGGGCGCGACACTAAATATTCAATCGCAATTCGAAAATTCTCGAAATTTTCCAGAGGTAGGTCCCGATATCAATCAATTATCAAAAAGCACATGGCTTCCAAAAATAATATATATACTTGCATATCTTTCGTCATACAAAAAGATCTGGTATCTTCTATGTAGTTTCAATTAAATATTCAATGTCAAACGAAGGAAGAAGAGAAATGGAAAGACAATCCGACGTTGAAAAGACAAATTATAATTGGTTTAATTTAAAACTTTCTTAATAGGTTATATTGTAGTATTTCCAAAGATATAAAAGTTCATACTTAAAGCTGAACGCCTTTAAAATTTTCAGAAAATAATTTTTTCTAATAAATGGTAAAAAAATGGTAAACATTTATCATATATTTTTTAAGTATTTTTCCTGGAATGCCTGAAAAAATATTTTATAAAAAAAAAAAATGGTGAAAATATTATGTATGTATTTACCAATCTTTGGTACTTTTTTAATATTTTTCCTAAAATTTTAAGATAAAGTTATAAACGATAAAAACAAAAACCGCCAAGTGCACACAATATTCTTACGAGTATAGAGCTATTTGAGAAACATGTTTGCCTTGGTTCTGAAGGGGTTAAAGAATATACGCAGTTTTTACACATAAATTACATACTCTAATTTTCCACAAAATTGCCTGCAATTTCCTTTAACGAGCGACTCAACACGTCCAATTTTGTATAACATTTTATAATTGGAATAATAAGCTCAAGAACGTACTATGAAAAACGCAAGAGAAGAAGCATTAACCAATACATATACACAAATTTTAAGCGCCCACAAAGGATCTACCTGCATCTGAAGCGCTATAAAATGCAACAACTGCACGACCTGGTGGCCATAATCGCATAAACTAGGCCCTTAAAATGGGTCAGTGATTCGAAGAGAAAATAAAACGAATAAAAAGCGCACGCGAATACTGCAACACTTGCAACTGGTAGAACGAATATGGAGCTGTTGAATTTCAAAAGGCTTTTCATGCTACTAATTTACTACATATTTTCAATCGCCGCCGCTCCTCACCAAGCAACGGCCCTTGAATTGGCAAGCGCAACACGCCCGGCCAATTTAACAGCGGAAGAACGATCTACAGCCGATGCCGCCACGCTAAAATACGACGCGCATATTTTCATGGAATATTTTCGCTGGCATGGAGTACACAATATACTGTTGGTTGTCTGTCCAGAGGATGTTGGTAAGCATGGAAAATAATGGCGCGGGAGAAATGTGTACATATGTAAGAAGCGCGCTCGTAAAGCAATAGCTGAGCCATCGAACGCTTGGCGGTCATAAATTTTCATTCTAGTATTTTGAATCGAAAACAAACATGAATACAAATGCATTGGATGCGACATAAAAAAAAAAACTACTTTCGTTACTTCCATCATTGCAGTCACTCCCGCTGGGTATCAAAACTTGAAGTCTCTGTTATTCGAATTTATTGCCAATGGATTTCCAACGCGTATTTTCAATGGCCAGGACTATGACGACAGCGAGCAAATTTGGCGGCTCTATGGGTCCAACATACTAACTAAGGCTACTACGAACGGTCCAACCACTGAAGGCTCTGCTGCATTTGGTCCACCGCGCACATTTCGAAGCGATAATAGTACACGTCGTCCATTGCGTTTGCATCTGCCGCCATTCACCTATAAATCCGGTATTCTGTTATTGGAATTCGCCAACGCCTGTGCGCTTAATGTGCTACGCTGGTCCGCTGCCTCCGAAAACAACTACTTCACCACAAATCGCTTTTGGTTGCTACTCACCGCTGATGAGGCACATATTACACTACTCGATGATGAGGAAATATTTCTGCCACCTGATGGTGAGGTGCGGGTTATGGTGCGGCAGCCAGCAACGCAATCCTTCGCGATGCTCGATGTGTATAAAGTTGCCGCAGAAAAGCGTTTGAAATATGCTAAAATGGGTGTGCCACAAATGCGCGATGTCAACGATTTATTGGAGGCGCTTCAAAAATTTGGTTCAGCCATTTCCTATCGCCAAAACTTGGAGGGTATCACCTTTAAAACGGGACTTGTTATTGCCTTTCCCGATTTGTTTACGAATATCGAGGATATATCATTGCGGCATATCGACACTATTTCGAAAGTAAACAACCGGCTCACCATCGAGTTGGCCAACAAATTAAATATGCGGTAAGTTTCGGAGATGTTAAATGAAGGCATGAAGAATTTAATCACTGAAGCATTTATCTCGGGGCCGAGGCACATTGTCGTGTGAATTAACGGTTGTTTAAAACGAAACCTAGGCCTGAGGCGCGGCATGCGTGATAGAACGGCTGCTCGATTCAAATTTTCACTTTCAGATTACGGCACTCGATCACACTAGTCTGCCGGCAATCGGGCCCGGATCTGATTCTCAGATTAGGAATGTTAATTTTTTTGGATTTTTGCGTTCCCGGGATTTTCGGGACATTATTCATACAATCCCGGGATTAGTCCCGGGATTTAGATATTTATTATTTTCCAACAACTTAACATGAACAAATTGTATCAATATAGTTTGAGAAGCTGTACCACATAATAAGTAATAAATAAATGGGTTTGAAACCTACTTTATTATTTAAGTTGTAAAATATTTCATTAGTAACAAAACAAAAGACAATCAGCCTTATAATGAGTTTCATTTTCCCCGAACCGGTTCACTTTTCACTCTTGGTTTCCATGGTTTTACTATGGGCGGATAAATTTTCGGGTGAATTTTTTTTTCATGTGAAACTCAGGATAAGGCAGAATAATTAAATGTATACGCATTTGACAATACTTTAGCGTTTGCATATCTGATAAAGTAACTTAAGGCATGTCGAAAAAAGCTCGGTGCAAAATAAACTTAAGTCAACGTATGTATTGTGTGGCTGAAAGAAGTTCATATTACTAGTGGCAGACATAAAAGAAGCGTCTTATTTCAACCAGTTTAGTATATATTTCTTTTCTTTATTTAATACTTAAATTTTTTTATAAAAGCCTACCTTACTTCACATATAATTAACTGCATTTAAATGCGCATTCCAAACTTTGTACAAGAATTATAAAAATGCAAACAAAATTTGCCCAAATTTCAAACTTTTTACTCAGCATTTTTAGAATAATTTGATGTACGCAGTTTTATAGCCCACTAAATTAAAGTAGTATAAAACGCAAGTTTCGTGCAGCTACAAAATACCGTAGATTTTTGGGAATTTTTTAATCTTAAAATTGTAATATCTCAGCGAAGCAAAAAGATATTTGAGCAAACTCAACGCCATTTCAAAGAGAAATACTTGTACTTTAACACCTTTTTTGTATTTTTTTGAGAAAAATTACTCTGGCTTGCATACACAACTTCAAAATTTGCCTAACAGGCCAAATAAATCCCTTCTAACTTCTAAAGTCATACAATGGGTATTCATTAAAACGCGCATATGCCTCATAACCGCGTAAATCCCGTAAATAAACCAGTTTTTCATACAAAATTAAGTAAGATTAAGAGGTTTACGTGGTTTCGGGGTATATATGAATTACCCTACAGATTATCTGCAATATTTTCCAATTCGAGAACAACTAAGGTAGCTGAATTAGCAAAGCTTTACTTCGGCCAAAGAAATCAATCATAACTGGACGCGTGTATGGAGCGCTCATGTCTGAGCTGAGAGAAGCTGAGAAATAAATTTACAAGCAAATGATAGGTTCATCTCTCAGCTCAGCCATAATGGCTATGTGCGCTAAAAGCATAGGCAGACGGCAGAGCGTTGATCCGTATCAACTCGTCAATTAAGAATTATCTCTGGAGTTAACTGCAGTGGATCCGGATTCAGTCCTAGATTAAATTATTGAAATGAATGGGGGACTTTTTATGGCAATAACCAAACCGGTCAGCTGTTGTCTATTGGTAATAAAAAGGAAAGCAGGCAAACACTTTGGCGTAAATATTAGTAGCCGAGTTGTCAGAACTGTGAACTAGAACACAGGAGCAACCGGGTTCGCTCCCCTTAGCATTAATAAAATACCACATCTCAGTACTGTAGTTAAAATTCTAAATACTTCACACATTTATAGGTGCTACAGCGGAACCTTTTCCAATGACTCCAACTTTTCTCTATCTATAGCCTTTCAGAGATATGAACTAACTCAGCTGCAGTATTCTACCACGAACACTTCCAGAGATATTTAGCAAAAAAAAAAACTCGGCATATAAAGGAGCTGCCAAGCCCTCTTATCTAATTACCGTAATTTTCTTCCATGAGTATGGAATTGATTTTATTTATCCCGACACCAAGTTCACCAGAGATACGTAGTAACTATAAAAAAATCAATCCCACAAATACTTCCAGAGATATTTACGCAGTATGAAAATTTCAATTTGTATGGGAGGCGCCACGCTCCTTGATATATCGAAATTATTTTCAGCCTATGACTATTAGAGTGGGCCAAATTTTGTATGGGCGGAAGAAATGTCATCGTAGAAAACGGGGCACCCCTTGGTTTTTAATATCTATACTAACTTTCAATTTTCTACTGTAACCAATACAGGGTGCGCAATTAACTTAAAATGCGCTACTGAATGCCTTTGAAACTGACAAAAATATTCATGATTTTTATAAAAAGCTAGTGTTTCCGTGACAATTGCAGCTGGTAATATTTGATCAGCTAATTTAAATTTAAACAACATTAGTGCCATCTTATCGACTGCCTGCTAAAAATTTACGGCCGGCTGGTTTTCTTGGACTTTTTATCGATGGCCTGTGAGCGAAAAATTTGACTATCAGTCAAAACACCGGTTATTTTTAGCAGGCAGTTAAACGGCCCTTAGGTTTCTGATTCAATTGTGAAATTGAAATATAAACATTTCATGAGCATCATCTAAATTTATACTTACAAACGTAAAGTTTGCTGCCAGCACCCCTTTCAGCAAGAAGAAAAATTTTGGAAAGTTGCCCCAACCCTATCTCGCATTTTTTTTAGCCTGCAGTAAGTGTGCTAAATTTGGTTCTGTCCGGGAAAGCATTAAGCCTATTTTTCAATCCATATCATAAGCTATCTAATAGTAATAGAGCTAGTAATATAATAACTAGTAGAAGTATTCTATTTAGTAATTTTTTTTTTGTTTTAGTTATTTCACATAATTATTTTAAGTTAATTTTATTTTTTCGAGTTTAATTTTATTAAAGAAATGATAAAACCTTTGTACTTACGTTTAAAAAATAAAAGCAATAATTGAGGCAACTAAAAAGTTCAAATTTAAATTTTACTGGCCGTGCGATTCGAAACTACGAACTCGCGGCGCGCTTAATCCGCAATTCACTGTCGTCTGCCAGGGTAAAATTTGGAACCGACCAACTGCGCCTTTAATTCGGATTAAAGTTGCCGTCTGTCTATGCCATAAAGGAGTGTTTTAATCCTCTCTAACAGGTCTATTCTGCACGTTACCGAAGATTTTGTAACCGGAAAATTGTATTACCAAAAAATGTTACCAGTTCTTGTCACCGCGATTCTAGGTACGTTGGTAATGCAGTTAAAATATTCAGCAATTCAGCTATGAAGAATTGTGCAACTCCTGGCGTTGCATATTTCACGGGGCAATAATTTGTTGCCAGCTTATGATTTTTTCGATTTATTCTTGTAAGATCATGTGGGATTAGTTTAGACGCTTCTTCTGCTCCCTTTTTATTTCCAAATTTTGTATAATTTTTTTTTTCTATTTTATCATTACCTTTCTTCTTCGCTTGATTCGTTTTTCTTCCGTTTTTTCTATCTTTGATAATCACGGCAAAATCTTCATTTTGCTTTATGTTTCCATATTAGTTATTTTTCTTCTTCCCCATTGTGGTGGAGTAAAATTTCTTGTAGTCTCGGTTTTATTAAGCTGCTTCATTTCTAATACTTCTTTCTCCAATTTTCTTTAGCTTCAACACCCATCAGGTGGACAATTATGGCTGGCACCAACCGAACGGCTCCTTCGATGGCCTCATGGGTCGCTTCCAACGCTACGAACTCGATTTTGGACAAATGGCCATTTTCATGCGTCTAGATCGCATTGCATTAGTTGACTTTGTAGCGGAAACTTTTCGCATACGCGCTGGCATAATGTTCCGCCAACCGCCTCTATCCGCAGTGGCTAACATCTTTGCCATGCCTTTCGCACGCGATGTTTGGATATCCATACTGCTGTTAATGATCTTCACCATAGGCATATTCATGGTAGAGCTATTGTACTCACCGGAGTCGCATGAGATTGGCATACTCGATTGTGTGGTCTTCGTTTGGGGCGCGATGTGTCAGCAGGGTTTCTATGCGAATATCTTCAATCGATCAGCGCGTGTCATCGTTTTTACAACATTTGTGTCAACGCTCTTCTTGTACACATCATTTTCGGCGAATATTGTTGCATTGCTGCAATCTCCTTCGGAGGCAATACAAACTTTGAGCGATTTAGCGCAATCACCGTTAGAGATTGGAGTGCAGGATACTGTTTATAATAAAATTTACTTCAATGTGTGTTAAATCGGAGTTATAAAACGTATTTCTTTCATTCGATAACATTTCTCTGATTTTAGGAATCTACTGATCCTGTCACAAATCACTTGTACCACAAGAAAATTGCACCAAAGGGTGATAATATTTTTATGCGTCCCACAGTTGGTATGGAAAAAATGCGCACAGGACTCTTCGCCTACCAAGTAGAACTGCAGGCTGGCTACCAAATTATCAGCAACACATTTAGCGAGCCAGAGAAGTGTGGACTCAAGGAGCTCGAGCCCTTTCAGCTACCAATGATCGCCATACCGACAAGGAAGAATTTTCCATATAAGGAACTTTTCCGCAGGCAGTGCGTTATTTCAAATTATTTTCTACATATATTTTCTAAGTACACCATTTTTTTCTGACCCTTACGCGGCTGTAGATTGCGTTGGCAACGCGAAGTGGGTTTGATGAATCGTGAAGAGCTCAAGTGGTTTCCTCAAAAGCCCAAGTGTGAGGGCGGCGTTGGCGGTTTTGTTTCGATCGGTATCACAGAGTGTCGCTACGCGTTGGGTATTTTCGGATTTGGAATGTTGCTTAGCGCGATTTGCTTTCTAATTGAAATCGCTACAAACTATGCTTGGAATTTGGCGAAGAGAATACACCATAATAAGAAGCGAAGGGAAGCAAACAACGGCGTTGTCGATGAATTCATTGGGTATTTAAAAAAATAATTTTATTTTATTTTGACATAAGACTCGCAGATTTAGGAAATTTTTCAGCATAAAATTAAAAAATGTAAAATTAAATTCCACAAAAACCAATAACCAAAATAAATAAAAATTTGGAAATTTATGAAAAATTTTACATTTCACATATTTCACATTTTGCTTATTTCGAAATTTAAGTTAAATTAAATTAAAAAACTGGAAATTTAAGAAAAACTGGAAACTAAAAAAAATGAAGTAAAAAGAATTTGAATAAAATAAATAAACTTAAACCAATTAAAAATGTAAAATCGAGGAACAAAATGAAAAATTGGAAATTTACATAAACAGTATAAATTCATGGCTGTATTTAAGAAAACTTGTATGCGATTGCAAGAAATGAGCTGTCAGTTTATTTAAAAATAGATTTAATTTTAGATAGTACTACATATTTTGAAATTGTGGGGGGAAGCGCGGACACGCCCATTATCTATATACCCTTGTGGTCAGCTGATGAAGTTAAGTGACATTTTGCCCAGTTTTGGTTTTTCTTTTGTTTATTTAATGTTATAAACATAAACATTTTTTTATAAAAGTCCAGCACATTACATAACCAGAACGACATAAATCCACATTTAAAACTTCGTACAAAAATTATAAACTTCAACAAATTTTAACAATTACACCCAAAAATTTTAAACTTTTTATTCAGACTTTTTAGAAAAATTCTAGGCATGCATTCAAAAAAAAAGGTAGCCCATTCAATTTAAGTAGGTGAAAATGAAAATTTCATGACGCTAGCAAATCGCGTTGATTTTTGATAATTTTTTTGGCAGACGGTGTTTGGCGTTTTGTTTTATACAAAAGGCACTATCCTAAGATAAAATGTGAGTGAATTGAACCCCTACTTGGCTTCTTATATTTTTTTTTTTAATAAAGCAATAATTTTTGTTGTAGTTTTTGCTTTGTTTGTATTCGTGGTTCTTTGTTTTATTATAAGACATAAAGTTCACACAGAAAAGTTAAATAAAATCGCAGGGTTTCCGTAAAATCTGCTCCAAAAAACGGGTTAATTTTGTTTTGTTCCACCCGTGGCAGAAGAAAAACTCAGATTTTAATTAAACAAAACAAAATAAAAATGCACAATAAAATTAAAAATTGGAAATTTTAGATGAGATTTAGGCCGGGAATTTCATAGTAGGAATTTTTTCTAGCTAACGGGCAGTTTTCAAGAAAAATCAGAAGAAATGTTTTCAATTATTTTTGTTGCTTGAAAGAAATACTTCGCTGTCGCTGTAAACTTTCTTGAAGAAATATTTATACGAGCATTTTTTTCTTGAAAGCTGCATATTTCTTTAAGAAATTTTGATAGAAGAAAGTTTCTTTTCTTGAGGCCTTAAGGCTGCAAAAGTTAACAAAATAAAAATAAAAGATGTGGTTTTCAGAAAAAAAATTTGGTTTAAAAATATTCCGAAAGAAAAGGTGAAAATAAAAAAATGGAAATTTAAGAAAAAAATTAAATTGAAATAAAAAATGTGCAAAAAACGAAAGTAACAAAATAAATTAATTAAAAAAAAAACAATTTCAAACAAATTTTTTGCCCGGAAAATTCATAGCAGGAAATTTTCACGCTAACGCTGCAAAAATAGATCAGATTAGTAAGAAAAATTAACTATAAATAAAAATAAAAAATAACTGCAAATAAGAACTGCAGAAAAGAAATAAATTTATTTTAAAGAAAAATAAAAAAAATGTGCAAAAGATTGCGGTCTAACCATATTGGCCTGTAAACTTTCTTGAAGAAATATTTAAACGAGAATTTTTTTTCATATTGCTTTAAGAAATTTTGATAGAAGAAAGTTTCTTTTCTATTTCTTGTGCGTCATTTTATATGAACTTTTTGTTTTTCTTGAGGCCTTAAAAATAAAAGATTAAAAAAAAATGGAAATTTAAGAAAAAGTTAAATGGAAATAAAAAGTGCAAAAAGCTAAAGTAAAAAAATAAATTAATTAAAAACAATTTAAAATAAAATTTTTTCCCCGAGAATTTAATAGGAAATTTTCACGCTAACGCTGCGAAAAAAAATTTAAAAGGAAGAAAAAATTAAATTTAAGAAAAAATTTAAATCAAATAAGAATTGTGGTAAAAAAGAAAAAGTTAATTTTAAATAAAAATAAAAAATAACTGCAAAAAGAATCGCAGAAAAGAAATAAATTTATTTTAAATAAAAATAAAAAAATTCTGCAAAAGATTGCGGTCTAACCATATTGGCCGGGCTGGCAGTGGCATTTCACTCCGGTACGCTATCCCACTACTGCCTACCACGGGAACTCTTGGCTGCTGGTTTTCACCCCTGGCCCGGTACATCCCTCCTTAGCCAACCTGAATACCTTGGACTCCTCCATGGCACCCATATTGATGGCAGGCTTAGTGCGGACGTTCCGTCAACATGAACTGGCCCACCACACAGAACTCCCGGCCTCAGGCCATTCCACAATCCGACCTCACAGAAGCGTGATTACAGAAGATGCCAACCTTCCAGTCGAGGTAACGGCAAATTAATCACATACATGAGTTGCTTGTTGCTAAAATATACAAAAGCTGTTTGATTTATATAATAGATGGCGCTGTTGATGCTATGAGTGATTTTGTATGCCAAGAAAAAGTTGTCTAATTGAAAGTTTGCTGCGGCTCTTTATTAGTTTAGTTTCTTGAGTTTTTAATAAAAAAAGCCTTTTCGACTTATTTTTAAGCATGATTTTGTACGCTATTTAGTATTTTGGCTAAATGTTTACTTTAGCCAATGAAATATAAGGTAATGCTGGCACTTGCGACATCTGCTGTTAAAAATCACGCTCATGGGACCAGGGTTGCCAATTCCGCACTAATTTTGCATTCACTCTTTTTAGTGTCGCGTGTTCGGATTTTACCCGCCTGCTACGTTTGGTAAATGTCTATGACCTAGAAGACACGAGTTCAAATCCCAGTGGCTGCCCTAGGTGCATAATTTTCTATTTTAATGTTATTTAATTATTTGTTTTTATTTTAACAAATTATTTTTGTTTTATTAATTCATTTTACTCTTTCCTTACTAATTTTTTCCATAATTTACTTTTAATTAAAATTTCTTATTTACATGTTTATTTTTTCTTATATTAAATTTCATGTTTTAATTCCTTCATGCAAAACTAATTTTTAAAAATCCTGAAAAATTAAAAAACAATTAAAATACAAGTAAAGTACAAGTTCGTAAAATATTAAAAGAAAACACAAATATGTTAAAAATATAAAATAAAATATTTCCTACACACAAACTTTACAAGCTGAGGCGACATCGGCCCTCAAATATTACACTTTTTGTATCAGTGTTACCTTACCATCCCTAATTTCTAAGTTACCGTCTTTTATCAGTGTGGCCTGTCTTTGCTTTTACCCTACTGTACCGGCCGTCGGATGTCTGGAAATTAGAGAACACAACTTTAAATCCCACCGTTTGCACTAGATGCATACTTTTACTATTATACATATTATTTTATTTAACATTTTTTTATTATTTCCTTTTTCTCACTACATTTATTAACTTTTTTATGTCATTTTATTTTATTCCACTTGTCTACAGGAAAATAAAAAAAAAATAACATTTTTTTTCATTTTTAATATTTTTATTGAGCTTTGTACCACGATTGTTTATTAGGAAAAATTGATAAGCAACAAAGTCTAAGCGGTAGAAGTTATAGCAACTATTTCGGAGATCACCACATCTCCTCATCAGACTTCTTTCTCAATAAAAATATTAAAAATAAAATGTTAATAGGCCACAATCACATTGACAAATACATTTTTTTTTCATTTTGCCATTTTATGATACATTTGTCTATATGCACCAAAAACCAGCTGTTCAAAAAATAGTAGTGCTTCAGTTAAGAAGCTCTAACATTTTAAGGGAATAAAAACTTGTCCATTGTTAGATGTTTTTAAGTAATTTGACTATTTTTCAGTGTAAAATTACTAAAAATATGGTACCCCCTTTTGCGATTGGGAAGAATAACGCATCTGTTTACTAGTGAGCGAGAAGTCATAATTATGCCAAGAAATCAAGGCAAAATGTACAAAAACCCCCAAAAAAATAGTTGGATACTCTATCCTTATTATTCAACATCTACTAATAATTGAAACAGCAAAAAACTTTTGGTAGTCAGGGCAAAACAGCATTCTAAGCGACTGTCTGTATGGGCCACTTTGGGTTTGCCTCCTTGGGTTTCACATAAGTGATTACGAATGAGCTAAAACTTTCAAATAATTTAGTAGATCTATGAGCTTGAACTGAAAGTTATTTTAAAGTGAAATTCTTTATAATGACATCATATTTCATGATGCAAGATGCTGAGGTATGAATAAAACGTTCTAAAAAGCTTAATGAAATAGTACAGGATATCGAGTCTTAGTATTACCTAATCACCTCAAATTGGATTAATCTTCTTCCAGACTGTACATTCTACGTCAACATAATAGAGAAAACGGTGCAAATTCAGTTTGGGACAAGTTGAAGTGTGGGAGAAAAGCACTGCGGTATTGCCATGATTTCCGTAGTTTGGTATTTGTCCTGTCCCTATAATCAACGTCAATTATGGACACGAAATGTACTTTATTTTATAGAACCCATAAAAGTATCCTGTATGTTAATCCACTTTTACCTTCAACTTTTCGTTTAATCTTTTAAGATTATTGCATTTGAATTTCTTAACAAGGGCAACCCTCTTTAAACATATTTAGAAATAAATTTGTCTTAAACCTTTCCCATTTGGTACCCATACTAAAATATGTGATTTAAATAGTTAATTAAATGATTTTAAGTTTATGAAAATGTGAAAAAATCTATTCAAAAATATTTTTGAAAGAAATCGCTTTTAAACTGATTTTGTTTGACACCCACACTATTGTAACATTTATTTTATCTAACTTTGATAAATAGTTGGTTTTAACTATTTAAAAAATGGCAACTCCCTTCAAAAAATATCCTATATGTTAATCAAGGTCATAGCATATGAGTGTGCCAAACTTCATTAAAATCCCTCCAGCGATTTTAGCGTGAAAGAGCTACAAACAAAAACACTCACTCACAAACTTCACATTTATAATATCAGTAGGATTTACTTTTTTAACCTTTTATATGCATCCTTTATGTGTAACACTTGGGTTTCTTGTTTGACGGGACCGATCCAGCGGCACTTTATATTTTTTTGAACACAGCTGTATGTACTAATGGCTTGGGCGACATCTGCTGTCCAATATTACACATTACCCGCCCGGATAGGTTTGGGACTTTTCTCTTCCAAAAATGCAACCTCGGAACACGGAATTTCAAAAAAAGGGAAATAACTTAGCAACGATTGCTTTATTTGACGTTTCCGTTTTCTGTGATGTCAAAAATTCCGCGCGTTTAAAAAGAAATAGCAGTCTTCAGTCATTTGCAAAATTCCACAACCTAATAAAATTACTAAAAATGGATCCATTGGACGTAGAAATGTATGATATTCACGGCAGTCAGTCGCCAGTAACAGATGTAAATGCATCAATCGACATTAGTGAAAACACAGCGGAGCTAGACCAGGCTTTAATCCAGTATGTAACAACCTCCAGTCGGTTACTTTTTGCCGAACGTGAAGAAACTTGGAATGATTTCCACACAGCGAGTTGGAATAATACTGAAAAGTTCACTGACTATTCAACTGAGCAACTACGTGAGCATTTTCTGCAAAAAGTGCTGCCGAAAATACAAAACTATGAGCTGACCGCTACACAAATGCAAATGTTTGAGCTGCTAAAGTTGCAACCGGAATATGAGCGGTCTTCGACTGGTTACGTACGCATGCCAGCTAATCGGCGTATAGGCTTTAACCGCCAGCCGAAAGAAGGGAAAGATTTCATACTGGTCAAACAAACGCGCCAGCTGCGGCAAATGGTGAGTGTATGCGAAATGTTAGTTAACACAATTGTACATTTTGTGTAAAAACTTACAATTTATTTCAACAGTTGAATGAATGCTCACTAACTGAAGGCGAGTTGGATGCAAATCAAGAATTTGATTTGAATAAGCCTGAACATTCACCGACTCACACGCTATTGCTGCGTGCTCCTTATGAGCGGCAGGGTACTGGCTATAATTACCAGTTCTCCAAAGAAAATGCTGCGTTATTGTCTGCAGCGCTCTCAAACGACTTTGAGTTGTTCGGCCGTGTTTTAATCGAGCCAAAGGAAATTCATAAGCGCTTACGCGATGCAAAACGCGATTTTGAGCAAACTGCACGTATGCCGGAAAATTGTTTGGATGCCGAAAAATTAGTTGCCAAAATCAAGAAGTTGAAAACGTTGCGTGAGGCGATAGTGGATGTAGTGACTAGTCGCTTTTAATATTCAATGCATTAATTTTATACTAATTATTTTTTGTATTAGTTTTGCATTTGTGAATACACTTTTTAATTTCATCGTATGGATTTAATCAATAAATTCTAAAAGTTTCAAGTTCTTAAATTAAAATTTATACTGGTATTGATAATTGTTTAACCACGCCATTCAATATTTCTGGTGTCTTGAAGCACCAATTTTTAATATGTTTGCTCACTCTGCACCAGGCCTCGCCATGCTTCGGCTCAGCTGTTACACAACGCTCTAAGACTTCCTTCTGTTGCTCTTCCGTACCATGCAGCATCTCGAATTTGTAAAAATATGCCCATGCATCGCCTAGATCGGGATCGATTTTAACCTATCAACAATTTAAAAGTTTATTTTTAATTAAAAATAAAAAAATTATTTACTATTATTTCCATTAACATTTACCGTACGATTGAACCAGTCGCGACATTTAGTGAATTTATGTTCTGACCAGAGCAACTTTGAAACAGCCAGCAGCACATGGGGATCGTGTTCACATTTTTTGAGCGCATCAACTGACTTCGTTTTGCGCTGCGGCTTCGATTCCATGTGGATCGCCTCAGCCCATAGCTCACCTGAATTAGGGCACTCCTGCAATGCACGCGCCATCATTGTGCTGGCGATTTCTTTTAAGCCGGCGCGCAATTCTATTCGTATCGCTTCCAACCATAGCATTGCAGTCTTCGGATTCCGTAAGCGTCCACGCTCTAGTATTGAACGCGCCTTAGTAAGTGTGCCCTTGCGTTCTTCAAGCTTAGCAGAAAGCGCCCACAACGGTATAGATGTTGGACACTTTTTAATACCTTGAGTGTAGGTCTCGGCCGCTTCATCCAAATGATTTTTTTGTTCTTCGATTTGTCCTTTCATCATCCATAGTTTAGGAAAGTCAGGGAATACCTTTACAGCCTCATCAAGCAGGCGCAAAGCATCTCCCAAATTGTCGAGCGCCCATTCTAGGCGTGCAGATTTCATCATAACACGTGGTGTAGGCGCCGATGAACGTGCTTTAGCTAGCAAACGGCGTGCACGCTCGTATTCTGCATTCTCTGACTCCAGTTTGACAGCAGCCAACCAAATGTCTTCAGAGTTAGGATTCGCTTGAAAAGCTAACGAGAGTATGCCACGCGCAGCGGGAACATCACCAGCCATCCACTTGGATTTGGCGCCCATTAGCCAGAGCACCTCAGATTTAGGACAATGTGCTACGGCGCGTTGAAGCAGCGCCTCCAGAGATTCGCGCGTACCATGACTTTTCTCGAAGTAAGCTGCACGCAACCAAATACTCTTCTTTGAGGGGAACACCTGCAGCGCGTACGCATAGACAGCACGTGCGCACTCGAATGCATTCTCCTTTGCGCACTGTGGAAAAAAGGAATATTATATACACTAAAAGTTTATCGAAAAATGCAATAAGCATTTAACCAAAAAAATTTTAAACCATGATACTCACGAACTCAGCGTCATCAATCCATGTTTGTTTGCGATCCTCCTCCTCCACGCCTACACCAATTACAGCTTTTACTATGGCCTGGCAGCAGTGCACCGCGCCAGATTTCTCCGCTTCAATGGCCTCCTGGAACCATTGTTCGCGGTTGATCTCCACACCATTTGCGGTAAGTGATGCCAATGAACGATCGATAATTTTCTCCACCATGTGTATATTTCCATTTGCTTCTTCCAGCTTTGCAGCAGTTGTCCAAATTTGTCTATCCGTTGGTATATTCTCACGCGCCTTATTCAGTACCTTACGTGCATTTTCATAGGTTTCTAGACGTGCCAACGCCAGCCACAACTCCACGCTAGTGTTGCAGCACTCGACAGCACGCGAGAGTAAAATACGCGCATCATCAGGATTCTCTAATTCAACAGCAGCCTTCCAAAGCCGCACCGAGTTGGGAATGTGTTCGAGCGCTTTGCGAAAAACGCGCCGTTTTGCTTTTGTCTCCGTTTCCAAATCAGCAGCCTTTATCCAAATACGCACCGAAGTAGGAATGTGACGCGCTGCCTGAGCAATCACAGCCTTGGCTGTGTCTGGCGGCTGCAAACGCGCTGCTTCTAACCACAAGTCCTCCGATTGGGGATTGATCTCACAACCACGCATTATAAGATTACGTGCCATTTGCACTTTGCCAGTTACTTCTTCCAAACGTGCTGATGCAATCCAAGCAGGTGGATGGTTAGGGTTCGTTTCACGAACACTTTTCAATAAGAGGCGTGCTTTCTTGATATCATTTATGTCACCGCCGTAAGTGGGTATCATGCTTTGCAGGTCAGTCAGATAGCCCTTCGGATCAACAACAGTTTGACCGGTTACAGAGTCAGAAACCTGCGAAAGCTTAACATTCATGAGCGTGTTACGCGCCTGGCCAATCTTGCGTAAATCCAAATCGCCGGTTGGTGTAAGCATGCCAGGCGTGGCTACACCAGGTACCATTGAGGCAAGCCCAGATGAAGGATCGATTGTTGAAGTAGCTTCACCACCGAGATTACGCGCCAGCACGCTGTCAGGAAGCGGTGTGAATTTCTCTGCACGTGGATTACGCTGCTTGCGATTGCGACTGTCACCTACCTCAGGTATAGTTGACCATTCCTCGGCGGTGACGTTGGCCAGCGAGCGTTTAAGATCGGAGAATTGTTGTTGAATTTTTGGCCTGTAAAATGTGAAAAGAGCTAACAAAACATTTTTAAAGAATCATAAAAATAACACACCTCTCCTGACGATAGCGCTCTAAATCTTCACGCATACGACGATCTCGGTACTCCTTACGTTTCTCGTCCATACGTTTGTCTATGGAATCGTAAATTTGATCAGCCTCTTCATCATCTTTGTCGTATGGATCTTTGGAGAAAAGTGAGCCACTGTAGCCGCTAAATTCATCGTAGTTAGAGTCGTTCAAATCCTCATCTTCCTCCTCCTCTTCTTCTTTCTTCTTGCGTTTTGCAGCGGGTGGTGCATGGCGATCATCAGACACATCGTTGGCATCGCGGGCAGGACCGATATCTGAACGCGTAGTGAAACCGGTGGCGCTGTAAACCATTTTTTATTTATTGAGTTTCAACAACTCTATGTATTAAGGGAGAAAATATACTTGCCCCCTACCAACACCAGCAACATAACCAAGTGGCGCGGGTACGCCCAGAAAATGCTTTTTGTTCCGATTAGCAATAACTGCTGCAGTTATATTTGCCATTTTACCTCTGTTTGCTTTAGTTTAAATTTTAAACTTTAAAAGGTTAGGAGTGTTAGTTAAAAGGAACTTTTATCAATTAGTTTATTTTCTTCCCCACTAAATTAGTAAACGTTTGCTTATATTTTTCATTCGCGGTTTTGTCATTATCAGCTGTTTTCTCACGTTGTAAACACCTACCGGTAAAAATATGCAATAAAGAACGCTCAGCCCTCTAGCGGGGAGACTTTCTAACGAGGCGTTTTTAAATAAAGTCAGTTTGCAAGCTATGGCAACCAAGTTTCCGCCGCCATTTCAACCGTTGTGCTTGTTTTTCATTACCGCGAGTAAGAAAATTGTGAAAAATACTAATTTCTTCTGAAATATCGCTCCAAATTTAGTGTTTTGTGCGAAATATTGCAGATGTGAGTGTTTGCTATAAGGAAAAAGTGAAATATTAGTAAAAGTGTTGAATTGAAGTGCAAATTTCGCAAGTGGTATCAAGCGACGCAGGCCGATGCAAGCAAATTTTGCCAACCTTAGAAATCATGGCGAAGTTGCACGGGTGAGTATTTTTATACAATTTAATACAATTATAAGAAGACTGAGACTTTTTACATTAATAATTGCCATGGAAAATTAGCGGGGGCAGCAACAGGTGCGATGGCTGCGCTTCCACTTGCACAACTTCGCTCCGGCTACTGCAGCAGGTTGTACTCCTACCTGAGTAGGTTGAATGAGGATGTGCCGAATGAGTGTCCGGCATGCGGAGAGACTCCACATGACTCGAAACATCTCTTCGCATGCCCGGAAAACCCGACAACCCTAACGGCCTTGTCCCTGTGGACAAACCCCACAGAAGCTGCACGCTTCCTAGGGTTGCCGTTAGTGGAACTTGACGACAACGACTGAGATACCAACCGTCCTGGGCGTGGTTGTTGTAGCCGCTACAAGAACAACATGACTGCGCTTCTTAGGCCTGTACTAATGTTTTTATATTTTGAGTTGACTCATTTGTACGTAGGTTGTTGTAATTTTGGGAATTTGTAATGTAATACCTACTCTATTCATTCCAATTTCATTTCTGGGGAAAATGGAACAAAAAATGGAGCAGACAATTTTGGGAAAAAAGTATTTTGTAAAAAAAGTTTATACGCACGTACCTATTATTTGCAAATAATCATTTTCAAAATGGTAAACTTTGCCGTATAAACGCTGAGTTCATTTTTTATTTGCAAATACATAACTAAAGCACGCAAATAAGTATTGACTAGTGGTACTATTTGCAGATAAGCCGCCATTCTTAGGTTTATTTTCTTTTTCGATGGTCATCTTATTGTCTTTTAATAATCAAGACATTACCATTTTTAACTTTATTATCTTTTTCGATTTTTTATAATCAGGCAATATTAAAAAATAATTTTTCAGCATCGAATAAACAGTGAGTTAGGTATTTTTAAATTATTTTTATTTGCAAATAACTTAAGTATAAACGTAATAGCGGTTTCTTTGTTTCGCTTTTGCTTTGACTTTTCGTTTCAAATTCACTGGAAAATTTTAGCGATAATTTCCAATAAATGTGATTTTGTAAGTAAATTTTTGGTAAAATATATACTATACATATCCAACAGATTATTGGAGCAGTGCCTCGGATGGCTACGATAATGCACTTTGGTCTAACAATTTAAACGCATAATTATTTTATAATATAAGGGCGTGTGTGAATCGGTAACAAAGTTCTATGGGGAAAGCTGTTGAATAATATTTTTACTATGGTAAGACAGTTATGCCAATCTGCTGTGAAATATTTTTTGACAGCGGTAAATTTTTGATAACCGCAGATTTATGTGGAATAAAAATACAAATTAAAGTGAAATTAACATTTTAAGAAAACATCTACCATAGTTGATTGCAATTCATCAATTTAAGCTTTTATTTAACGAAAAATTACACACATCAACAATCTTTGCGATTGTCAAAATTTTCTATGAATTTGTCAAAAATTTCACTAGCCTCATGAGCTACTGAAATTTTATTCACCTCGTAGTGTAAAAAATTTACTCGCCGCGAACTTTTTTACCGATTCACACACGCTCTAACTGATAGAATTCAGAAATGTAATTTTAAAATGTTAACGAAAATAAAGGTCGAAGTAGAATTCCCTTTAAAGTTAAGATATTTAAAAACTAAGTACGCACATACGCATATTAGTAGTTGATCGTCGTGCTAGGCGGTCGTGTTAGAGAGTGCTCTGGTGCAGTAAAGGGATTTTTCACATTGTGATCAACATAAAAAACTCTATTATGACACACAATTGAGCGTAAGGTTACATATGTAAATAAATGTTAAAAAATAAAGGTGATTTTTAATAAACATTCTTAAAAGAAATAAATTAAATCTCATAAATACATACATGCATACATGCATACGTGTTTACTTGTCGCGAAATTAACAAAACGGCAAACCAAAGCGCAGTGAAGTGGTGGATGACAGCAATAAAAACAAAATATATTGACATTAACGGAGCCTGCAGTTGTCTTGCAGTGACTAAGCCCAATGGATGAGTGTGACAGGTGCCACAAGGGCATACGGGGGGATGGTGGTATTCGCTGTAAGGGTGTGTGCGGTAGAGTTTACCATAAAACAAAAGCGTGTGCAGCCATAGATGAGTACTGCCTGCAAGGCTTAGTTAATTGCCCCTTTCTGAGATTTATGTGTCATGATTGTGTTACATACATATCTAATGTTGATGATGCTCTTAAGNAAAAAAAATTAAGTAATAATAATTTCTTTTGAGCGAAAAAATGAAACTAATTACATGGTTTACAGAAAAAAGCGTCATTTAACTGGTGTGGGGTACACTGATATATGTATGTATTGGAAATAGTACTCGAAAAGTAGTAAAAATAATCCAAATCTTTTCACCCTTTTTCTACTACCCTAAAATGCATGGCCGCAATTGGCATGCAGAAAAAGTGAGGTTATGTAAGTGACATCACCTTATATTTATTTCACCATGATAAAAAACATTACAGGGTGAGATCATTGAGAGGCAGTCTGACGTTTGCCAGCAATATAATTTTAAAATCCGAACTCGAGCTCACATACACAATCTCACTTTTGATTTAATTTTTTTTATTTGAAGTTTTATATGATTTTAAAATGTTTGCAAACGTCAAAAAAATCATGACCGACGATTTGAGAGAATGATCCCACCTTTTAATGTTTTTATAGCATTTTCAGTTTAAATGAAACCATTTTCAAATTAAGCGAAACCTTTTTCAAATTAAATTAAACCTTTTTCATGTTAAGCGAAACCTTTTTCAAATTAAATGAAACCTTTTTCAGATTCAGTGAAACTTTATTCAAATTAAATGAGACCTTTTTCAGATTCAATGAAACTTTATTCAAATTAAATGAAACTTTTTTCAAATTAAATGAAACTTTATTCAAATGAAATGAAACTTCTTTTTTGGATTACTTTGAATTAGCTGTTACGTGTTGCTCTCCCTTACGGTCAAGGCATGTTGAATACAGTGTTGCCGTTTCGGTCCAATTGGACCAAAATTGGTGGTTTCATTTCTTAAAATAAAGCTCTGGTAGGTTGGTTGGTTTGCTGTGATTTTCGAGTGGTTTTGGTAACTAGGCAAATCATATAATTTATTCATTTTATAAAACTTCAAATATCTCTGTTTTCGGGAGTACATGTAAAGGATGATGTGAAAAGGAAAAGAGAAATGGGACATGTCAAAATTATTCTTGAACCGAAGTTGAATGTTGCCGTGATTAGACTGTGCTCTAATCCATAGGGTTTGTTTAAGTTAAAAGAAAATAATTAGACAATTGTTATGCAAATGCCAAAGTTTACATTTCGCTTAAGCGAGTGAGTGAGAAGGGAGAGTATTTGTGTGTGTTTTTACGTAGAAATCAAAAACCAACAGACTTCTACGTATGTAATGCTGTGCGTTGGGTAACAGCTTACACGCGAAGCTCATTTAACAGATTCCTTATGTGACAACTCTCAAGCAATGCCAAGTATGCATAACAGAGCCTTTAGTGTTAGCCAGACATGGTGCAAACGGCTCTTAATAGGTTAAGTTGATTTCCTGTTCTTAATTTAAAATAGTTTAATACTTAATTTGAATAAAGTTTCATTTAATTTGAAAAAAGTTTCATTTGGTTTGAATAAAGTTTCATTGAATCTGAAAAAAGTTTCATTTAATTTGAATAAAGTTTCACTGAATCTGAAAAAGGTTTCATTTAATTTGAAAAAGGTTTCGCTTAACATGAAAAAGGTTTCATTTAATTTGAAAAAGGTTTCGCTTAACCTGAAAAAGGTTTCATTTAATTTGAAAAAAGTTTCATTTAAACTGAAAATGCTATATCATAACTGCAATTATATTGGGGTTTTACATACTTTTTTTGGAAAATCGCCACTCAACAAAAATAAAATCCCCACTTTTCCTTACACTTTTTAAAATTTTTCCCCAAAAAATTCCATATAATTCAAAGACCGAAAAAAGTTTGACTGTATAAAACAAGGAAGGTCCAATGTTTAGAAAATCTATTAACCATAATAATAAACATAATGCATACATAAACATATAATATGTACACTATTGCGTTGTATACAACGGAATACACACATACATATCTAACATACATGCATACTAGTGTCCGACCGAAGGTGGAATTTTGGCCGAAGCCGAAGCCGAAGCCTAATATTAGGTACAATTCAATATTCGGCCGAACAACGAAGCCGAAACCGAACATTAAAATTAAATTTTACTCCGTTTCAAAAATAATAAGTCTGTGATCTTTTATTTCGTAACAAAGTGATGTGTCACATGTTTGAAAAGTCAAATTCCACTTAATTCATCAGTTAATTAAAATATGTATCGCAATGTCCGACGAAGGAAAGTTAACAAGGATTAAGCTCGAAAATACTTTTGAAGAGGGCTGCCACCTGTTAGAATTGCCTACTACCAAAATTTCAAAATGATTATTTTCTGCCGAGGCACCACAGATGTTCCAGCTACACACTAAATTTATTAGCTACGACTGACTACATCAAAACTTTAAAAAGCGATAAAGCACTATATGACAGGCATACAATGGTAATTGTCATTAGTAACGGGTTTTCCAATCGTCAATTAATGATAAATTTT